AGGGTTATAGACGGGCTTGCGTGCTCTACAACTGGTACTTTCAATGAAGAAGAAGCCATTGATTGAAAGCTTTCTCAGAGGACGAAGTTGGGAAAGGGAGTAGAGAGAAGTGGCAGGTCAGTAGAGATAAAGGGTTTGTGTGTTAAACGAGCGAGTGATTTCAAAACACAAAATAAAAGAGTTTTAAAAAAAACCTGTGTCTGGAAAATGTATCGCGTAATTCGTTAAGTACTAAAAGTATAGATACAAAGAGTTTCCTTCAATATTTATACTTTTGGAGGGAAAAACACATCCCAGATGTTGAGGCCAGCTTTGAACTAAAATATTTGGCTTCGAAACCAGATTTTGGTGCCAAAAGTCAAATAACAAACGGCTTCGAAACAGAGAAGCTGGCTTCAAAGCACATTCCATACTTAAAGATGTAAGAATACTCAAGTATTTGTTTACTTCAAAGAGATTAAAGACCTGTTTTAGGTTTCTTAATGAAAGTAATGTCTTTCGAAGCAAAACTTGAGACCCCTTAAGGATGGAAATTGGTGTTCGAAGCATCAAAACCAATAGTTGGTTTGTATATATACAGAAAAAGATTGTCTTTTGAACTAAAACAGCATGAACTGTTGTTTGCAGCAAAAGTGATCAATTTAAGACTGATTGATCATACTAACCATGACCATATGTTGGTTATGATTAAAATAAGCTTTAAAGGGTAAGATTGTTAAATTCGAGACACTGATTCTAAATAAAAATCAACAAGAACTGTCAACTATATTCCATAAATTGGAAAAGTTCAAATTGGTTCTTTTTAGTGTTTCATTTAAAACGATTGAGTCCAAATTCGAAGCATAAGATTGTTCAGTTCGAAGCCCTAAATTTGCTTTTAAAGACAAACAGAGACAACATCAAACAATGCCAAAAAACAAAAAGTCTTAGTTGTATTAAAGCAAAAGCAATTACATTGAACGACCCTCTTTGGGTACAAATTCAAGCTCATAAAAGTAGGGAATAGAATAAATAACAAGATCGTGAAATTTGGTCCAATTATGATCAATGAATTTCTGTTCTTTCTTTATTCTATCCTCTATTTCTTCTAGGATTGGCTACATAAGTTGATGTGCTCTCACTTCATAACAGAGCTCTTCAGCCTTTATTTCAAATGTTGTTTCTTTCAATCCTTGTTCCAACTCGTCTATATCCGAGTCATCCCAGTACGCAGAATCTTTATTCTTGAAGTTTTCAAATTCATCAATGAAGTTCTCTGCTTCATACTGGGCATGAACTCGAAGGAACGAAAATTGGTCCAAAGATTGAGTGGTGGCTATAGAGGTCCGATGCCAGTGGAGAAGTAGTGGAAGTTGGTCCAAAAACATGTGAAGCTCTGCTTGGGCGAGGGGATTGAGGACATGACCCCGAGTCAGAATATCACAAGCCCATCGAAGGTTCTTGAGAGGGACTTCGTCCTCAAGAACACTGAAAGGCAAGTGAAAGAAGGAAGCAAGCAGGAATTGGGCTTGCTTCCGCTCAGCTGGAGTAGGGGGAGGTAGAGGCTTGTAAGGTGGAAAGACCTTATCTGCGGAAAGGGCAAGCCTCAGTCTCTTTGTCCAGCAAGGAGTTGGCGGAGGAGAAGGTATGGAAGCCTCCACTTCAGGAGGCGGAGCAAGGGCAGAAGGAACAAGGGCACTATTATAATCGAGCCAGTCAGAAGAGCAAAGCTTCGCCTTCTGGGCTAAGAACGATGGATTGTACCCTTGTGCCTCTTTGGGGCGTTGAGCAGTATGTACTATCTTTGTAGGCATGGAGGATGTGTACCATGTTACAAGTAGATTCTCCTCCAATTTGCGTCGACGGTCGATGGGCACGTAAGGATAGACCACCGAGCTTCGCGCATAGGAAGGGAACTCTAAAGGGTCAATAAACTCGACAAAGTGATGGTTGATTCGCTCCCTTAAATCACAGGTCTCAGGTTTTGACCAGCTTGTCCAGTCAGAAACCCTAAAGGAAGAAGAAGTTGCAGCCTTATCCCATGCAGAGGGTTGTAAAGAAGAACTTCCCATGTCCATATTTGCGACTTTTTGAATCAAAGAATTGAGAGCAGTTTGTTCGTAGTCTAAGGGTGAGTCAAAAGAAGAACTTCCCATGTCCATATTTGTAAGTTTCTGAATCAAAGGATTAAGGGCAATGTGTTCATAGTCCAAGGGTTGATAATTTGCGAAGGCATCCATGACCTGAATATAGAAAGGTGGGTAAAGGTGGCTAATTAATGCATGGAGGTTCTTTCGAGGAGGAACAAGATCAACAGATGACTCTTCGTGGGTTAGTAAACTCGACAAAGTGATGGTTGATTCGCTCCCTTAAATCACAGGCCTTAGGTTTTGACCAGCTTGTCTAGTCAGAAGCCCCAGAGAAAGAAGAAGTTGCAGCCTTATCCCATGCAGAGGGTTATGAAGAAAAACTTCCCATGTCCATATTTGCGACTTTCTGAATCAAAGGATTGAGAGAAGTTTGTCCGTAGTCCAAGGGTGAGTCAGAAGAAGAACTTCCCATGCCCATATTTGTAAGTTTTTGAATCAAAGGATTAAGGGCAATGTGTTCGTAGTCCAAGGGTTGATAATTTGCGAAGGCATCCATGACTTGAATATAGAAATGTGGGTAAATGTGGCTAATTAATGCATGGAGGTTCTTTCGAGGAGGAACATCATCATCAGATGACTCTTCGTGTGCACGATCAATGGAGGAGAAAATTGATTCGGCCATAAAAAATGTATCAGTCTGTTCGAATATTAAGGTGGTGGGAGTGTTCAAAAGATTGAAAGAGAGTTTAATGCAGATGATGAATGACAGTTGCATTTCTGGAAGAATGCAAAGCCCATGCACGTTCTAAGATGTGGATAAAAGACCTTGATCCACTAATATCACCAAGTATTGGGTATATTAGTGCGGGGGTTAATGTTGGCTACATATTTTGTACAAGCCAATTACAATTCGACGCGTGACAGAATAAGGGTAATACAGGAAGACTATTCAAGTCTTCGATCCTGATCGTACACGGGACCGTTAGTATTGGTTATTACGAGATCTGAGTAGTAGTGGGTTAACAAAGAGATGCAAGGTGATGTGGTTTCAACGATTACTCACATTTAAATTCAAATTTAGGAGAAAAGCCTAACTACAAGTGATGGCACAGTTGAGCTAATTATAAGGCAACATGATCAGCGATCATGAAAGTGTAGTTCGACGGTTGGAAATACAGTTCGATGGTCATCCTTGAGAAGTATAAATAGCAGAGAAGGCCCAGAAAAAGGGGCCCAGACTCATATCCAAAAAACCAGCCTTGGTCTACTTATTTTCCTTCCCAGTTTTACATTTCCAGTCTTACATTTCCTGTCCTTTCATTCCTGTACTTTAAATTCCTACACTGCACTTTGTTCATAGAAGTAGTTTCAAGTGGTAGATTGTTGCTGTAAACCTCTACGAGGCTGAGTTTGGATCATTGTAAGTTTTTCATTTTAATGAAATGTTTCAATTGTTCTTCATTTAATTGTTATCTTACTTAATTCTCCTAAATCAAGCTACTAGTAAAAGTCTTCTTCATTGAGGCTGAAAGAACTAAAACACAATCGTCTGATAATTGGTTGGCAATTAATTTTCTGTAAGGACTGATTGATCCTTGCTGGCACGCTCACAATTACAAAAATAACCTTCGAAAGCCAAAAAGCCAACAGTTGGCAACTTTAACTCTAGGTAAAACGTGTGCCAAATTTGATACAAGGTATAACAAAAGTATAATTTATCAACTTTAATACTTCACCGTTGGAGAAGAAAAAAAGTGAATTTCATGCTATTTTATAGCAATAGAAACTCCAATAGCTCACTGTTTGAGTTGTTATTAATATAGTTAGATTACAACTCAAAGAGTTCACCATTGCTATATCAGCTCAAACTCCCAGCCTCCACCTAGAGGTGACAAATGGGTGGATTTGGGTAGATTTAAATGGGTTAGGCACTAAAATTATCTAATCCTAACCCGTCCATTTAATAAATGGGTCTAGAGTTAGGTTAAACTAGATACGAGTTGGACAAATCATCTTCACTAGCCCATTTATTTTATTGAACTCTTTTCTAATAAATTCAAATAATTTTTCAAAAATAATTTTTATACAATTGCAAAACTAATTTAAAAAATGATTTTTTTAAAGGATTAAATTTAAATTAAAAAAGTCAATTACTAATTAATTAATGATTATTAATGTATAAATATGACATAAAAAGAAAATGCAATGTGATTTACTCATTAATAAATTAGTTACTTTATTTTTTTTAATTATTTATTTTTAAACGAAACAGTAGTAATACAAGTATATTTTGTACCAGAAACACATCATTTAAGTGTACAGGTGAAATGGATGTATTGCTTTGATTTGAAGTATCTGCGCAGGTTCGATTTCCTGCTTATTACGTTTTCAGAAACCCGGAAATCAGTGGTCGGGTTCGGGTAGGTATGGCCACTCCTCCATCTCACTACTCTTGGTGTGTCTACTAAACTATTAGGCCAAACCCAATGTTGAATGATTTAAACGTAAGAAATATAATTTTTTTTTCTCACTACTATAAAAAAAATAAAACAAGATTATAACATTAATTTTTTTTTAGACACAAAGTAAATAAAATAAATATATATTCTTTTATTCATTGTTCATTCAAATAAAATAATGCAAAACTACAATTAAAGAGAAAGATTATGGTACACACCCTACAAAAAGTGTATATTATATACACGTTATAATTATAGAAGAAAATAATATAACTCTATATTTTCTAAATCATAACTATATAAAATAAAAAGTTATAACTTAACATAAAAACAATCATAATGAAACATCTCAAAATAATGTCATAACTAAAGAATAAAAGTGGTCGTAACTAAATAAAAAAATAACATAAGTAAACATGCATATGGTATAAGGTATGTACAATAACTAAAGAAAAAAATAATATAAGTAGAAATGCATATGGTATAAGGTATGTATAATAAAATTCTCCACAATTAAATGTTTGGAGTTGATTTTTTTAATTAATTTTTGAAATATTGAATTTTTTTTTGGTAGAATCTAAAAAAAATTTATCCATTCAGAAAATTCAGTGGCTTTTTTATTTTATTTTTTTGTTAGGGACAAAGTTGAGTGACTTTTTTTTATTATTTTTACTGACAACAAAAATGCTTTTTATACTTGGGATTTTTTTTGTTCACTTTCCTAAACATTTGTATTAGATTAAGCACAGACACTTTAATATTACTAGTACAACAAAATAAATTTTTAATTTTATTCATTTAAATTGTAATCGTTTGATTTATATTTAATCTAAATTATTTGTCTATTTTTGTTAAGTATAACTGTCTGTAAAAATGTAACTTAGTTATTAAACTCAATGGTACACCTACATTGAGTTTAATTACTAAAATATATATATATATATATATATTTTTTAACAATTTTACTTATCAAAAATAATATTTTAACTATTTATTTGGAGAAATTATTTAGGGGTCTTAGAATATTACTCCATGCTATTTAATATTCTCAAAAATTAGCAAAAAATAAAAAGTGTTGTTTGGTTTATTCTTATTTTTTAAAAATGAGTTAATTACCTAAAAATCCTATTTACAAATGTTATGGTTGCTCAGGTCCTATTTAAGATTTTTTGAACCAATAAGTTTTATTTAGTAAAACTGAAAATATTATCTGTTTTTTTCAATTTTTAAGACTGAGAACATTATCAATTTTGCATAGTAATATTTCAGATAATTGTTTCACTAACTAATAAAAAAATAGAGCATGAGATTCAACGTTTTTGCCTTCTATTTACTGGTTTGATTCAACTATCTAATAAAATCGAAAACATTATCAATTTTTTTCAATTTTAAAACTGAGAACATTATCAATTTTTTTCATTTTTAAAGGTGTTTTTTTTTTTGTACGAGCCTATTTGCACATCAATTTTTCATCATCATGCTCCTTTATATATACAAAATTTTCAGTTTTGATTCAATTTTTTCAAAAAAAATTAGGTAGCGTTTTGTAGAGTTTTAGAATTATGATTTACGAATACAAATTTTGAGTTTGTGAGTTTTGGAATTATGATTTGAGAGTGAAAAATTTGCTTGGTTATGAATTTTGAAAAGAATTTTGAATTGAGTTTCAAATGAGTGACGTGACATATGATATTTGATTCAAAAACTTACAACTCATAACCAAACACACAATCCAAAATTCTATTCAAAACTCATAAAAAATTTTAAAAAAATTCTGCAAATATTTTTTTATTTAAAATATAAAAATAATAGGTGCAAAAATAAAAAATAAAAATTGAATGCTATTCTGGTCAACCGGCCGGATGTCCGGGGAATGACCAAGTTGATGTGTTTTCAAAAGTGAGTGGCGAATCAATTTTTGAAAGCGCTAACCAAACACTACACTCAAACCAAGGGTTGAAATCAACTTTTCAAAACCTTACCAAACACAGCCTTACTTTTTGTTTATTGCACATAATTTTTTTAAATTTTTTTTTCAATTTGAAAGTTGATATTTTAAAGTATTGAAAATCAAAATAAATGTCAAATCATCATATTCTTTTATAGATAATCATAAATGATGAACAATCACTGTTTGAAGAGGAATTCCGACTATTAAAAATTTAATAGGACTTGAAGGTTTAAAAAATCTTAGTTAGGACTTAATAGAATATAAGTTCATAAATTAGGACTTGTGTGGAAATGCTCTTTTAAAAATTGAGTTTTTATTTTTTTTATTTTCTATATTTTTTTTTGTTTTCACTAATTTTTTAAATGAATATTTTAATTATTATTTATTTTAATTTTTAGATACACACACCTAATATAAATATAGTTAAAAAATATATTATTTGTGAAAACTATCTTTTAAATTCGCTAACTACAATTTTTTTTTTAAATTCAGAAATTAAGTATATTTTCATATTCTCATGTGTTTATTAATTTTTTTAAACATATTTTTTCACAGATAGTTTACTTTTTGGTACATCTAGGCTAAGTGCTTCTAAATTTTTTTTTTAAAAATTACTTTAAATATCTTTAAAAAATACATAAAAAATAAAAAATTTAATTTTTAAAAAATAATCAAAATCAAACATGGTGATTGGATCTCACTATTTCAAACAATAAAAACCAATTTAGAACACAACATCGCCATGCCCCAAGACCACAAATAAAAGTAATTATATTTCCACACACTTAGTTACTTTAGTGCACATACTTAATGAAATATTATTTTAATGACAATTATACCTAAAACTAAAATGACCATAATAGACATCTACTAACACCCATAATATTATATGAAATTACTCTATACACATCTTTTAAAAATAAAAAAATCTCAATTTACACTTTTTTAGTAAAAAAAAAAAAAAAAATAAAAATAAACTTTAGTTTTTCTATTGTTGTCATTTTGCTTGCTACACATTCTATACTCCTCTATTGCTTGCAAAGTAATACTATCATAATAACTCTCATGTTATTTTAATATCTAGGTTTATACTTTATTAGTGATGAAAATGTTAGTTTTCATGCAAAACTTTTTTTTTCCTTTCACGGTTTTTTAATTGGACAACCAGTGCCGAATTATTTCATTATATTCGGACATCAATTGCCAATTTTTTTTTTATTTTTTTCTGAACAAATTTATCGAACTAATCACTTTTATTCGAAAGTAAATTTCTGAAATAAATACATAATTTCGGAAAACAACCGCCGAAAGCTCATAATCAGCATTACCGATTCAAAAAACAAGGACTTTGGTTCTTCAAAGTGGTCTTCATTTTGACTGTGTTCTTCAATTGGGTCTTCACTTTGACTATTATAGCGTTGTGGCCCTACAAATTTTCAAATCGTACCAGTATATGGAATGAGGGACAAGTGTGTGGAAGGAGGATTGAGGGAGTGTGTGTACAATAGTTGAGTGAAGGGTATAATTAATACATTTACTGTGTAGATTGAAAAAATTAATTAATAATTAAATCACAAAGTATGTGTATTAAGAAATAATATGAATTGAGATAGTTAGGTGTGTGAAAATAAAATTTCCCCATAAACAATTATGGAACACAATTCGTACAATCAAATAATGCACCAAACTACCAAAAAGTGAAATCTCAATTATATGTGTTTATATTGAGGCACTTGCAAACCCATTTCACCAACACCGACACAAATACACCATACACAAGAGACTAGCTAGAAAGAAGTCGATTGAAGTGGGAATTAATGGCTTAGACAAAGGACTCAAAGTTTCACATAGCCATGTTTCCATGGTTTGCCTTGGGGCACTTGACTCCATACCTCCATCTCTCCAACGAGCTTGCTCAAAGAGGCCACAAAATCTCTTTTTTGTTGCCAAACAAGGTTCAAATTCAATGGGAAGCTACGAATCTCCATCCCAACCTCATCACTTTCCACCCCCTCGCCGCCTCATACGTCAAAGGCCTCCCTCTGGACGCCGAGACAGCTTCTGACATACCCATTGTCCTAACCACTCACCTAGCGACCACCATGAACCTTACTTGTGATCAAGTGGAAACATTGCTATGAGAATTGGAACCTGATTTTGTTTTCTTTGACGATACTCATTGGGTGGCAGAACTAGCATCAAAGATTAGCTTCTTGAAGATAGTGTTCTGTAGTGTTGTTTCTGCGGCAACGCTGGCGATGCTTTTAGTCCCTGCGTGTAAAGTTTTTAAAGACAAGATGCTAATGGAGGCCGAAATGGTAATGCCACCACCAGGCTACCCGTCTTCTACCGTGGTGTTGCATGTACATGAAGCTCTTGCATCACCAGACATATCATCTAAGTTTGGTAGCGGTATAACGTTCTATGATCATTTCACAACCTCCATGAAAGAATGTGATGCAATCTCTATTAGAACATGCCAAGAAATAAAGGGAAAATTTTGTGACCACATAACAAGCCAGTATGGAAATCATGTATTTCTAACAGGATCTGTTTTGCCTTGTTAGATATATATATATTATTCTTTTATACTTATCTATCTGTATTGTAGATATATCTCATGTCCTTTTTTATATTTATCTCTAATATGTCTCTATCTCATTTTCTATACTTATCTAGGTTTCTTCTCAGCCTCTAAATACATGCTTCTTGTATTTCATTAATATAATTCAATACAGAGTTTCTCTTTTCTCTTCTCTCTCTACTTTCATAACATGATATCAGAGCCTAGGGTTCTCTCCTACCCTCATTTTCTTCTTCCCCATTTTTTTTTTGTCCCCTGTTGGTTTCTGCGTATCTAGTCCATCCCTATTTCAACGTTTGGACTATATCAACCTCTTCGTCTCTTCAAGACGAAGCCAACGCCACAGCTAATGCCACTAGACTCATCTTCATTGGACTTGCCACGCGCTCTCACGCACCTTCCAAAGACCTGCGCCTCCCAAAGACCCGCGCGTCAGTTGACCTTAGTCTCACTCTCACCACGCTCCCGTACGTGTCCTCTCAATTGGCTTCCCTTGGCTTCGGCTGCTCGATTTCTGCCTTAGCCGATTCGACCTCGGCTCGCCCATTGGATTCTGCATCAGCCGATTTCCATTCAGCTTCCGTCCGGCTTCTCTTAGCCGGGTGCCGCTACCCCAGCTTCCGCCTTGCTTGTCCAGCCGTTTGCCCGTTCTTCAGCTGCTGACATCAGCCCTGCTCAGCCTCTGACGTCATCCCTGCTCAGCCACTGCCTAAGCTGCTGACATCATCACAGCACAGTGCTGATGTTAGCCCTACTTGTCCCTAGAGTTTTGCAGTCTTTTAAATCTGTTAGTGACCTCTGTTTTGGAAATTATGGATCGTACTAAGAACATCCAATCTGTTTCTGTTATACTTGATGGGTCCAATTATGTTAGTTGGGCCCAAGCTCTCTCTAGCTTCATCAAAAGAAAACGCCTTTTGCAGATCATTACTGGTGCTCTTCCCAAACCCAACCAGAAAGAGGATGAGACTAACTCTGCATTCAATGACCGTCTTGACGAATGGGAAAGTAAGAATTATCAAATTATCACATGGTTCTGGGCTACCTTAGTTCCTTCCATCAACCTTCAGTTTGGATGCTTTCAGTATGATGTGTAGACACCCCATTTTTTACGGCCCTTACGACTTGGACGTTATCGCTTGCACATCCAATGATGAGTCGACATGCTTGTCAAGTGCTCGAAGTTCTCAGCGGAATGCCACAGCTTTGAGCCTTTCAAACCCTACACCCCTATTGCCTTTTTTTGGACCTAAACCTTGGATTTTCAAGCCTGTAACCTCTGGTGGCTTGTCGGCCACTACTAGGGGCTGCCGGCCATTGCTCTTGGTTGCCGGCCACGAATGTGTTTTGCAGATATTTTGTGATAGCTGTGCCAGCTATTTGCACAGATGCTTGCATCTACTCCCACGTGTATGGTTGGATGTTTTTGAGGGAGATTCATGTTTTTCTATATATAGAGAACCTCCCTTTTTGCTTTAGGGTTAGAAAAATTTTGGAGCAAAATTTTTCCTCTCTCTCTCTCTCTCTCTCTCTCTCTCTTTCTCTCTTGCAAATTTCTTCACCTTCGCCTATACACTCCTAACCAAACCTCTCAATCTTTGAGTTAAGGTATCTTTGATCCTTGTTGGAGCTCTTGAGGGTGTGTTTTCCTTGTTTTATTGCTTGGAAATGATCTCCTCTTCAAGAGGTATAAGGCTTTGCCTATTTACTTGTTGTATTTACTCTTTTTCTCACTATTTTCCAACAGTTTTTGGGCTGTAAAAATTCTGTATTTTTGGGCTGAAACTTTGGTTTTAAGGCCAATAAAGGTTGATGGGTGGTTCACCCTTCTTTACACCTTGCTCTCAAGGCCTTTACCCTTGTGTTTCCTACCTTTGCACTACTTTTTTTTTTGAGCTTTTAAACACTGATTTTTAGAGTTATTTCAGTGGCTAAAATCATGGTTTGAAGTCCAAAATTGGAGGGATTAGCCTCCCCTCCTTGTGTTTTGCTTACTAGTCTAGCATGATCCATTTTTAGCTTATTATTCTAGCTATTTTTGTCTTAATTTTAACATGTTTTAAGACTTATTTAGGACTATTTTAGGACTATTTTTAAGTGTTTGTTGCATTTGAGCTTTGTTTTGCATGCTTGTAGTGTAATTGTCCTCATAAACTTGGTGTTTTAGGCATTGGACACCATCTTATTTGAGTTGATAGTGTTTATTTATGACTTTCCATACTTGTGATCACTCTTAATCACATTTGTAGCCTCCATCCATTCTTGGTTTTTGTTTTTCTTTGAAAGTTATTTAAAACTACTTGTTTGTTTAAGCATGAGATTAAGATGTCATGCTTAATAATTTAATCCTTTGGGGGTTCATTACCAACGGTATGATGTCTCTTTCATGCCCAAAACAACTCTTGGTTTGAGCCATCTTTCCATTAGAGGACATAAATTCACCTTTGGACTCAATTGACTAAAGAATTGATGGTAATCTAAAATGAAGTAATAAAATAGAGACTAAAAAAGGTGCAAGATAATAATTGGTTAGGGTTCAATTGAATGTTAATTGAACCCTTGAGTCTTGAGTCGTTTCATACTCACTAGTGATGAAAACGGTTCAAGATTCATTGTTAACTACTTCCCTTAATCTTTCATGATAGGGAGGTGGTTTTGAGAGTCTTGTTTTGTTGCATTCAATGAACTTGCACACTTTGGTTCATAAGCCATCATGCAATGAAATTGCATAGATTGATGGTTCATGAATCAAGTTTTACTACTCCTTTGAGCTATTCAAATGATAAGGAGAGGTAAGTTGTGCAAACAAACTCTTGAGAATACACTGTCTCTGCTCTATTTGCTCTCTGTTACAACAAGACAACCCAGACAGTAGTGGCCGGCAAGCCATCTTTTGTGGCCGGCAAGCCACTTTCAATGGCCGGCAGGCCCCCTGCCGGCCACCAGTGCAAAATAAAGCAATGTCCTTTTGAAGTAGAACAGAGTTGGTCTAGAGGTAGAAATCAATACAAATGTTTAACTGTGCAACAGAGGCATTCAGCAGCAGAAACAGTGGCTTCTTTGAGTGGAAATCGTATTCATGTATGAGCCCTCTATTGATCCTCAGGATCCGTGCTATAAATATATTAGTGTTGTGAATAAAATAATGGCTTTTTAAATAATAAGTTAGAATAGCTAATTCGTCTCGTGTAGTAATTATTTTAGTTAGCTAGATTAGTTAATTAATTAATTTATTCGGTTTGTAATAATTAGTTAAGTAGTTTAGCTAAATTATTCATTTATTGTTGTAATAGCTAGGTAATTAGTTAGCTAGTTAGTTCATTCGGACCCTCCAGTGTGAGGGCGTAATGTTGTAATAACGTGTATGTCTTCTAGTGTGACAACCACCTCCTTAGTTAAAATTAATTTAATTAATTATTTATTTGTTTATTGTTAACTGAGTGCTTATGTGCTTAACTGTTATTGATTGTCTTGATAATTATTGACTTGCTTGATTGAATAGATAGGTAAGAATACAAATTAAACCTGTCTGAGTCGCTAATTTTAACAAGTTAGAAAACAACAAGTGGATAGGAATTAGAGCCTAATTCACATTAGTATAATTGAGATTATTTAATGTAGAGGATTAATTTATTTGGGTAGAAATGAGTGTTGTTTTTTTAAATTATTTATTTATTTATATTTAATTTAATTGAAACCTCAATTTAACAAACTAATTGAAAAACTAAATAGTAAATTATATTTCTACTCATCTCATAAACATAGACTAAGAGAGAGAGAGAGCTTGGTTGCCTTAGTCATCTTTTTTCACATACTCACAGACCCACGTAGAGAGAAAGAATGAGAGGAAGAGTGAGTTGAGCTCATAGAAGAGAACTTGGAAAGGAAGAAGAAGATGAATCTTAAGAAAGCTGAAATTTTGGTCTTGAAGCATCAATTAAGGTAAGAAATTATTCCAAATTCTTGATATTGAAGCTCCATTACACATCATTTTCCAAGATATGAGTTTAAATGAATTGAATTTGTCCTTAAATAGGAGATTTGCTCATGTAATTGAGAGCTTAGGGCATGCATGTGAAAAAATTGAAGAATTAATCAATTTAACTCATAATCCTTACATGCATGACATATTTTCAAGAGAACAATGATTCTAAACTTATTTTCAAACATGATTCATGGAGTTTAAGGAGAGATTAAGCATGAATTAGAGTTTGGCTTCAAGAAAATGGATGTTTCATGAAATTGAGTTTCAAAAATGGAACAATGGGTTTAATTTGATATTTAGAGCCTTATAAGAATTCAATTAAAAATTTGATTTAGGTTCATAAAATTAGATGTAGTCAAATTAAGCCATAATTAAGAATTAATTAAATTCAGTTGAAATTAAGTTAGGCTTAAGATTATGGAAATAAATGTGAAGATTAATTATTTGGGTCTTGATTTGCTTGAAAATGGAGTTGAAATTGCAAAATGTACATTTTTATGAGTTTCTGATTCAGTAATTTAAACATGACTGAATAATTTTAATAATGTGTATGAGCCTAATTTAGGTTTGATTGTGTAATTAGTGAACTTAATAAGGGTTGGTTTATGATTAGATAATTTATATTTAATTAGTTTGGTTAATACATAGCTAAACATATTTTAATTGGAGGTTAATAATCTAATTTATTTCTAATACTAGTAATCCATATTTAAAAGAAATGGAAAAAAAATAACTAGGAATAACCGAATGAAAAATTAGAATCAAATGAGAGATATCGAAAGACAAACAAGTAACCAAATTAAATAAATTGTAAGAGTGTAATTGTAATCGTGTTGTGCTTGACTTATTTTTTTTAGGTCAGACGCCGAACGATTAGCATGTGTTTTTTAAGAGCCCGCTGTGAGTAACACTGCTGTAAAGATATGTTCAATCGTATTTATTTTCTGATTGATAAATTGTATTGTTTCCTGAAATGATGCTCTTTTTTTTTTATTGATTGAATGATGATCCTAATTTCTAAACTGTATTCGTGGCATTCATAGCATATTGTTATTGTTATTGATATTGTCATTGTTATTGATACAGAGATCTCTGTCAGTTCCAATTCTTGAAACTATTGTCTATTGTTTGATGGCCATCAATTGATTATTCAGTCTTTAAGACCTATTGTATTGTTGCTATTGGATGTACCATGTATAACTTATACGAATATGATTGATTGAATTGTACGATTGAACGATTGATTGACAAAAAGATATGATTGCAACTAATCTATTGATAATTGGCTGTTTTAAATATTGTAAGGACATCATTCTAACCTCTTTACACAACTGTTATTCACTGGGCTCTAGCTCACTGTTTACTATATATTTGTAGGTGATCGAGCACCGGATCAAAGCTAGTGGCGTCTGTAGACACCTCATTTTTGACCGTCCTCAAGACTTGGACGTCATCATTTGAACACCCGATGATCATCCATGCTCGTGTTCGTTTTGAGTTCCCGAAGGTCTCGGCTGCGTGCCTTGCCTTAGAATATCTCAACTTGTCTGTTTTGTGCTTGGTTGTGGACCAAGGACTTGTGGTTTTGCTTCTGAGGGAAGATGGTGGCTTTTTGGCCATCCTTACAACCCATCGGCCAAGCCTTGTGCTTGTCAGTCTTGTTTTCTTGTCATCGGCCATAAGTGGTGGCCGATCGGCACTCCTTTTGGCCGATCGGCACCATTTTTGGTCGATCGGCCATATCTTTTGGCCGAGACCTTTTTACCTGCTTTTGTAGATATTTTTGTGCCAACTTTGACAGTTGCTAAGCACATATTTTATCTTCCATACACGCGTATAGAGGGATTGAATTCAAGACCTTAGCTTGTCCAACAAGCTTAGGAATTGAATTTCTACAAGAAGGGAGACCCCTCTTCCTTTCCCGAGGTTCTGAAAATCTAAGATAGAAGTTATATATCTCTCTATCTATATATATTTCCTCTCTCTCTCTATATTTGTACTTGTTTGTGCTCAAAAGTGTATTTTCATCATACTATTGCACACAAACACACACTCAAACACCATACTCTTGGAGCTGAGGTCCCTTGAAGTTGTTTTTGAAGTTTTTGGACT